GTTTCAACGAATCGTAAAACTAAGCAGGAAGCAAAGAAGTGCTTAATTTTCATCTCCTTGAGTGTTTTTCATTTTTCGTTCTCTTGTCTCGCATGTTTTAATACAGATTCAGGGGATTTGTCTGACTATCAAGAATCTGCCACAACAATAAAAACAATCGAACACAAAATTGTTCGGCCCAAAAGGATTTCTCGTGAATGGAATAAAAATCGCCCTTGGGATTTCAAAACAATCAGTACTTTAAATCAGTCTAAAATGATTAAAACAAGTAATATAAAAGATCATATTTCATTTTTTTCCTCTTATTATTATTACTGTAAATTCAACAATTCCTATGTTTGCCTTGTAGTTTCTAATGCCAATATTGCATATATCTACTACGATTATAAACATCGTTTTACCATCTCATTCTCATTAAGAAAACATAGCAACTAGACAATGCACTATCCGCACCAATTCACTTCAATCCGTAACAATCAAATCTAGACAATGCATATATGTCGACAAAATTACCAACTTCTAATTAAAACACCAATCATCCTCTGCATTCGGTTTGTAGGCTTGTTTAAATTTCGTCGACTTAAAGAATGCCATTCGAGTTTTCACCAGTTCTTTTCACCGAACTTTATCATATCAGACTAAACAGATAAAATTAGCCCCTTGTGATTAAAATGTGAAGCAGCTAAAATAAAAGGCAACAGTTCTTTTCAGTTTTCCCTCATTGTAAAATCATCATTTTATAGAGACAAATAAAATGGAGAAAGAACAAATTGACCCAAAAGTGAGATATTAAACATAAATATAATTAATTAGACTAATATAGGAGATTAGAGCTGAGATTAGACATCACATGAGGGGAAAATTAAAAACCCATCAAGCTGGGCCCTTTACCCTCTAAACAAACAGCATTTTCTCATTTCCTTTCAAACATCTTGATTTGGGTAAAGACTCAAATTTTATTTTGTAATTTTTTTAAAAATAGACCAATCTACATCTCTATTGAACTTTAAAAATAAATAAATAAATAAATAAATAAATAAATAAAAGAAAAGCAGAGCAAACAAGCTACTTACAGATTATTGTTTTCTCACAAACAGTTGATTGGGTAAACAGTAAACTTGATATATTAATAATTTTATTTTTTAAAAGCAGTATGGATCCGGTCTGACCCGAATTGAGCCGAACCAGTATGAATCCGGCCTGACCCAACCCGTTGATCATGGGTTGGACACTGTGTCCGGATTTACGCCGGTTCACTTCAAAAGCGACCATTTTAAACATATGATCCGGCGAGTCATTTCGTCGAAGTTTGTAATTGTTAGATTATAATTTAACCGTCAAAGATAATTGATCTAACGATTACAAACCCCGACGAAATGATTTCGTAACGAACCGTATGTAATCCGACTGAGTGGGTCCGTAACGACTGCATCCTGAAGTATACATTATATTCGTTATAAATTCAAATTTACCCATATGTTATATGCTAATATATAATTTTTTTTTTTAATATAAATGAAGCATTAGAACACTCTATGGCAGCAGCAGATGCAAGAGGAAGTTCTGTCAGCTTGTGTGGAGGCCACGCACTTCTCGTGCGTTGGGACTGGATAACGTGGACGGCGTGAAACGCATATCACTTTTAAACATCTAAGAGCGTATATCTATACAAATATTTGGGCTCCAAAACGAGTTTTTTTTTTTTTTTTTTGTACAGGGACCTTCCGGTTTTCGGATCTACAGTGAAACCGACTAATCCGGAATCAAGCCGAGTAGGACCACAAGGGCGGCAAAGCTCTCCCTCAAGAGTTTTAACACTGCTGCATTCCCAGGGCTCGAACACGAGACCACTGGTTAAGCTGGAAGAGGCCCAAGCCATCTCATCCAAGCGCTCTTTGGTCCAAAACGAGTTTTTTAGTTCATTAACGTTAATTTAAAAAAATATACCGTCAGG